GCTTCGTCGACAACAAGTTTGCTTAGTGCAAAACCAAGAATATTGCTGTGTCTACTATGTTGCTTTCCTATATCGCTAACTGTAGTTCGGTAAATTGTTGTTGACCAAGTGATCGTCAGAAAGAATTTTTTAAGTAGTAAAAGTTTTAATAGATAAAATATTTAAAAAAAATTATACTTGTATTTATTATAAAGTTTACTGGGATGACTTCAAATTTACTGGGGTTATACAAAATTGATATTTTTAATTGGTCCATATCATATGATCATCATATGATTTTTATAAATAAAAATAATACTTGATCTTTAAATACATGTTTCTCATTAAATATTTAACCAATTTTAATAATTTTATTATTATTAGAATTAGAAAAACATATTCTACAAACTTTATTTAATACACCAAAACAATTAGCTTATAAAATATTTTTAAAATATTAAATATAACAAAAATATATCAACAAGATTATATAAAAAATGATCTATATACCCCCTACCCTTAAAATTGGCCTGGTTGTTCTTGAGAAATTTTTAAAAAACATTTCGCTGACATATAAAATTTCTTTAAAAAAATCATTTTTTTTTAGCCAGTCAATCAGAGAAGATCTGCAAATTTTTATAAGTAAATTTTCTATTGAGCTAAATGTGGAATGCACCAATCTAAAACTTTTTTCTTACTAAGTAAACCATCTAAAACTTTTTTCTTACTAAGTAAACCACTCTTAGTCTCATAACAAAAGTTGTAAAGCTCATCAAAATACATTTAATAGTAGTAAGAACATTAAAATTGGTCTGATGCTTCTTAAGAAATCTTTAAAAAACATTTCGCTGACATATAAAATTTCTTTAAAAAAAATTGTTTTTTTTAAAGAAATTTTATATATCAACAAAATATTTTTTAAAGATTTCTCAAAAATCACTAGGCTAGTTTTAATGTTCTTATTACTATTAGATGCATTTTGATAAGCTCTACAACTTTTGTTATAAGCCTAAGAGTGATTTACTTAGTAAGAAAAAAAGTTTTAGATTAGTGCACTCCACATTTAGCTCAATAGTAAAATTTATTTATAAAAATTTGCAGATCTTCTCTGGTTGATTGGTGAATCACTAATTAAAAAAATTTTATATATTAATGAACTGTTTTTTAAAGATTTCTCAAGAACTACCAGGCCAATTTTAACATTTTTACTACTATTAAATGCATCTTAATGAGCTCTACAACTTTTATTATAAGCCCAAGAATGATTAACTTAGTAAGAAAAAGGTTTTCTTTATATTTTTTTAAAAAATCTCCACATTTGGCTCAATAGTAAAATTTACTTATAAAATTTGCAGATCCTCTTCAGATAACAGATGGATTGTCTATTAATTATTTTATTATTTATTTTAAAGATTGAGAATATAATCAAATTATTGATAGAAATAGTAAGTAAAAAGAGGAATTAGTAATTAGAAGATAAGAATTTAACAGCAGTAAAGAAAATAATATATATATAATTAAAATTAGATTTGAGATTAAAGTTATTATTTGAATGTTTATCAAAAAACTGAATAATATAATAGCTAATATATTAATTATATTACTGATATTAATTTATTTGAATTAAGATAGCATCTAAAGCAGAGATAATGGCTAATTGATAAAAATAAATAATAATTAATATTAGATATATTTGATATTAGTTTGCTAATATACAATACTGAACAGTAAAACATCTTTAATATTTATTAATAAAAACTTTAGTATTATAACTTTGTTTTTTTTTACCTTTGCAATATTGCAGAAAGGTAAATTTTTTTAAGCATTTTAGTAGTACATTCTTGGTTAATGAGAGTATATGTAGTCACATATACAACTTTTGGTTGTCTATTTAAGTAGTTTGCTCAAAGGTTCTATATTATATGTTGTACTTGTAATCTAACTATAAAATTACCTATTTAAACTCTCTGATGTCTCTGTTTTGTACTATCATCACAATTACGCCAGTCTATAACCTTATGCTGCTTCAATTGAAGGCCACTTAGATCAACATATACTATACTACTTGACTTTAATTTTATAGATAACCCAGTAAGGTTTTCATACTACCAGATTGTCTTAGGGAAGGTATAGTATATATCTCCTTAATCTTTTTATATTCTATACATTTTCAGATTAGATAATGAATACCTTCTGCAGCAGCTGAAACTACTACTAGCAGTCAGAGCTAATTATTAAACCACACAATTCTAGTATTTGGTGCTTTTATAAGATTTGTTTCAATCCTGATACTCACATTAAACTGATCTTTATATCAATCCTTCTCAAATTACTAAACTAGTTAATCTAAATAAGTTATTGTACTTAGGCTTTAAGTACCTTCTGGTTTTACTTCTCTTGATTTTTTATTTCATAATATAGGACCTTTTTCTTTGGTACAACTCTAGCAGCCAAATTGGTAGATTCTTCTTGTATCAAGATTTTTGTCTGGTTCTTCAGTTTTTGGTTTCCAGCTTTTTGCAGTATTATCAAAGATTTTTACTACCTCCTTGCTTAAGTCTTGACAAATAGATTTTAATTATTCTGGTTCCTTGGATTTGGATTACCTAAGAGCTTTCATTTTGAGATAATAATACTAAGATTATAGGTGATATACCCAACCAATTATCAAATAATTATTACCGGTATACAGATCTATTTTTCTAAAAACATCTCTAATAGGATTCGAACTCTAAACCTGCTATTTGAGATAATAATTTAACAACTACTCTAAGTTATCACACTCTTGTTATAACTTTTTAAAACAAGTTAAATTAAAAAACTCTCCAACAAATTAATAGATTTTTAAATAAACTACATTTTTATCAAAAGATTTTTTATTCTTTGTTTTAAAAAAGTTATAAAGGATTAAAGTTTATATGAGTTTAAAAAATTAGTATTTAATATAAAAAAAAATATATATATATTTTTAACTAATTAAAATTAATTATACAAAAATTAGCCAATCAGAATTAATTATATAAGCATCAAAAATTGGCACTCTTATATATAGATTAGATGTCTTTTACTGTTTTATACTGTATAATTAAGAATTAGCTTAATATTAAAACAAAGTATATTTCTATTTGTATATGGAGTGTTTAAATATAGGATTAACTAGGTTTAGGTCGCAGATAACTCCTATAACCTTTGAGTTAACAAGGGTTCTGTCTGAGTCTCTAGTCTTAGTATCTTATAGATATAAAGTTCAAATAATGTAATTTCTTTATCTTTATTTGTAAAGAAGTTTAATTGGATTTTAATAAAGATAGAGGCATGGCCTCACCTTTGAAGATTAAAAAAAAAATATATATATATAGGATTAACAAATCATATGATTTTTTAAATATCAACATGATATCACATGATCTGCTAATCTAAATAAACATAGAGACAGTGTAAATTACGTGATATTATATTAAATTCTCTATCTTAATCACTAACTAATTAATAATAATTTAAACACATAATTTTGTACTGTTTTCTATATATTGCTATTAGAACTAATATGATTTCTAATCTTACTAACCTTAAATATTGTGCTGGTTATACTGTGTTGTTAAGGTTAGTGCTGATCAATTGCTGTATCAATAAGTATATATGTTGCTGTATTGGTAGCTCAGATATACAATACGAAGTATAGTATTATATATAGTATACTGTATAACAAATTAATTTATTTATATGATTATAGAAAGTAGTCTACTGTAAGAGTATTTTATATAAGGCATTTACGATAAGTATATAGTATTGTTGCCAATATACTGTTATCAATAACTTGGTAAATAATTATTTGACAATCAAATATGTATAACTGTTACTTTACTATTTCAGACTTCTATCTTTAATAATATAAAACTTTCTTAACTTTATAGAATCTAAATCCAATACTATATTCTATTCTTAACTTAATGAATATTAACTAATATTGAATTTGAAAAAAAACTACATATATATATTTTACTGGTTGAATGCAAAGCTAGATGAGTACAAAACAAAATCATCCTTAGAATACATATAATATATACTCTAAGATGCTTTATTATGTACTCATTTTATATTTATTGATATTATATAAATTAAATTGCGATAATGATAATAAAATGCTAATCTATCAGATTAATTAAGAAACTGTTATATATAATCAAAGCAAATAATTCACAAATAGCAATATAACAATTATTTCAATATAAATATACAAGACTTTGTAAATATATTATACTTGAAGTAAATAAAGTTTTCATATTTACTATTATATCATATAAGTTCTATTTACTTATTTGAATATATTTTAGCATAATGTCCTGATTGTTTGCATTTTTTATATTTATGAACTTTGATATTACTTTCATTTTCTATACTATTTTTGGCTAAACTTTTTAGTTTATTAAGGCATGTACTATTTCTTAAGTGCTGTTTGGCTTTATCATTTTGTTTAATATTAGATTTAAGTTGATTTAGATATCTTTCTTTATATCTTGTGATGTTAGGATTGTTTGTATCATTATTATCTTAAATTTAATTTTCATTTTATTTTGACTTGCACTTCTTGAATAACTTTTTAAGCTTATTAAACAATTTGAATAGATTTTAGTATTAATTGCATAATTAATTGCTTTCTTCAATAGCTCAAATAATTCTGCATATATCGTCTTAGTTGGTTTAGAGGCTGATTCCAAATTTAAAATATTATTAGAATGAACTAAAAATAGATATTGTAGTGTAATATTTGACATGACTTTAAAAGTTTCTTGATACTGCTTAGAAATAGTAATGGTAGGAATCTTTTCAAGTAAATTTTTTGTATTGATTTTAATATTTGAAAACTATCGACTTGAAATAAAAGATATATAAAATATAGTCAACAGAAAATATGTGCCAATACAGAAAAAATACCAACAAATCAAACCTTTGTTAATTAAAAGAAGGCAACTATATAAGTGAGTACTATCTTTAAGTAATATAATATAATAACCATGTTTTGTAGTCCTTATAGTATGCACATACTATATTTGAAGAATTAAGTCAAATAATATATTTTGTATCATTTGTTTAAAAAGAATTTGATGTATATTAGAATTTGCTTTTTGATCTAAAGACCAATCTGCATATTATCTGTATTAGACTAAAAAATATATTAGTATCATATAATATATGCTAAAAAAAGCATATAACTTACTTTAATCAAACTTTGTCATTTATGAACTTAATTAACATTATAGCATATACTTTTGTTCATTTGATCTTATTGTTTATTTAGCATATTAGAAATAAGAAACTTTTTAACATTTTATTAATATTAAAAAAAAAATGATGATTTAACATTAGTAATCTAATAGCTAGAATAGTATTGCTTTGTATTTCAAAATTCAGCAAATGTTTAGCTTGCTTAATATAATCATTAATACTAATTAGTAAATCATATAATAAAGTTAAGCAATCAACTTTTTAATATATATTAAAATTAGCTGCCTCAATTTTTTGAGTACTTTGTGCACCTTCTATAAAATATTTATTAATTCATAGAATTGCTTATGATTCTTTAATCTTATAAAATATATTATTTAAGTATTTTGAGACAGTTGAATAATTATTTAATAGCTTCAACCACTAACTCTCAAAAAGAGCTTCATATAAACTATTATAGTAGCAGTAAAACTCTAATCAGAATGTCTCAAAATAAGGATCTAATTTACTCTTTAACTTTTTTTTAAGATTTAAATCAATATAAAATATATACATTTGACCCCCATTAATATCAACCTCATTAATATCAACCTTTCTTTAATATCAACCTCTGATTAAGACAAAATAGACTCAGAGTATATTAAAACTATCTCAATATTATCAACCCTCACATATATCAACATAATTTCCCAATCTAAATAGGTTGATATTAATGAGAATCAAGTGTATATCATATGCTTGGTCATAGAGTATATAGTTTTTAAGGCACTTATTATGGTGGGATCACTATTAGTAAATATTATTATAGAAATAATTTCAGTTTTTTCAAGCAATATCTCATAAATTTACTGAAATAATCCTAATATTTTATCTTCAATAAGACAATATACTACTACCTTTGTCTTAAAATGATTATTAATAACAATAATAATACATAGCATCATTTGGAACTGATTTGTATTTGATATAGTATCTATAAATATTAAGTCATAAAAATTTTCATATTGTAATATTAATGAATTTTTATTAACATTTTTCTTATAATTTTCTTTAAATTTTATTATATATTTTATATGTTTATTATATATTTTATTATTTTATTAGTTTATTTATATAGTTTATAATATGTTTTAACTATTTTAGACATTTTTACAATAGTTTATTACATATTTTATTAGTACACTTTTTACAGAATTCTATTTAAAGCAATATTTGCTTTAATATTTAATTATTAGTTCGTTTAACATAACGGTGTACAAAGCAAGGCTACACAAGTAACACAAAGTACATGAGGTACCCCAGAATGCCCCAGGACCTTCTATAACGATATATTAATAGTTATTTAATTGTATTATCTATAAAATATTAAGGAGCTATGGTGTGATAAAACATAGGAGATAAACAAGTGATTTAATTGGTCCGCATTGCGCATGCATATTACTATAAAATGCCGTATAAGGTACCCCCTTGATTTGTACTGGGTACATTTCAAAGTCATCAATGCGGTATTTTGTAAGATAGCCTGTGTAACTTATTTATACGATTTAAAGTACTTTTTGAGAACATAACGTTTTACTAACAAAAAATTACTGCAAATGCCATTTCTAACTTCGAAAGAACATCTATATACACTGCAAAATAATCAAAAAATAATCAGAACTTTACTTAGAAGTGAAAGTTTTCGTAATTTATTACTATTACTATCTAAGCAGAGACGTGAATCAGAGATCAAGGAATTTGATCGCCACAATTTTAGATATGAAAGCACTTTAGAAACAAGAGGAGCAGTGATCTTAGCTGATTTTCGTCGAAGCTTGCTTTGAGGACTGCTTCCTAAAAGAATTGCTGAACCCCTTTATCACTCTCTATATTAACTATATACAAGTATTGAATGCGAAAAAATAGTTGAATAAAAAGAACAAACAAGATGTTTAAGGTAATTTAGATTTTGAAAAAAAAACTTTACAAGCTGTTAACTTATTGTATTTAAATTTGAAATACTTCTTTAAATAGTCTTAATACTTACATTACTTTAATATTGTGTAGATTTTATTAAGTAAATATAATATATATGGCTTTAGTATAAATAGAAACATGTGGTATAATTAAAAAGATGGTGGTGCGATGGTTGTAATAACTGAAAATTAGGATTATTATTTAAGAATTCAATGTAACAACACAAAATTATTTGCAAAGAAATAAGTTACTTAGTAGACTTTTAGATAGGCTTGAAAAACAGGATGTAACATAATTAATAAAAAATAATTAATGAAGAAATAGTATATAAGCTTTGCTGATATAAAATTTTGTCCACATTATGAATTCGTTCGATTTGTGTTATAGTCGGAATGTTGTGATTATTAGAATTAAGTGATATATATAATGATTTATTAATGATTTATAATTATTATGCTGCTTCATAATCAGTTTCATAGCAATTTACTGCTAAGAAAAGTAATTGGCCAATTAAATACATGGTGATTTATAATTATTATGCGGTTATATGGACAGAAATTTTTAGTGGAGTGCTGTGGCTATATAAAATTAGGTGATATAACAAAGTAATACTTATAAAAACTGATAAGTAACAGATCAGTTTTGGGTTATTTTTAGCTGATCTGTTCAGTACATTGCTCATAAAAACTGATAAGTAACTGATAAGTAACTCAAAAGCAATTCATAAGCAATTTTACAATCACCAACAAATAATCACTTTTAATCTTAGTAATCACACTGTATTATATATATTATTGGCCCAAATTCTATTTAATCTCATCATTCAACTTATCTAATCACAAACTAATCACAAAGTTGAAGATTTCTGCCTATATGTTTCATGAACGGTTTCATAAGCAATTCATAAGTAGATTAATAGTTAAGGCAAGCAATTGACCAATTAAATAAAATTTTACAAATCAATTTTACTGAAGATCAAGCAATATCAATTATATTTTACTGGAGATCATGAAATATCACATAAATGATTGGATTAAATTTCATGAATTGTTATTATTAATTTTTAATACAGTAATCACCAAATCCACCCATATGAATTATACCGAATTATAATCTAATAATCCTGACAAAAATTACTGCTACAGATAGAGCGTCTACTCAAGAATATAATTGATCAAAAAGTCCCGAAGCCCTATAACATGTATCGAATATCATTGAATAAATTCGAATTTTTTATTGGTTACTCAGATATATGTAATAGGTTTGATCAAATAAATATTCGAATTGACCTCTAAAATTACACAGAACAAATAGGTTTCGAAACGAATTTGTTCTATTTTTAGATATCCATATTAAATAAGTACTATTTATTTCACATTTTTATATGATCGCATGACAGGGTTTTATGACTACTTTAATCAATAAAAAACGAGTTTCTAGTGATACAAGTTATTTCTCCAGCAATGTTTGTTATTTCTCTGGAATTCTGGAAAAATAACAAACGTTGTTAAAGAAATAACTTGCATCGCTAGAAACCCATTTTTTATTGCTTAAAGTAGTAATTATAAGTTGTAAAACCTGTCATGCGATCATATAGTACCATGGAATAAGTAACTATCACCATTAACTCTGCATTAGCTGATTTTCTAAAAAGACAACTACCCTTTTTTACACTTAGACAATTCACATTAAAAAAATTGAATTTATATGTAAATACACATAAATAAATTTTATAAAGATAAAAATTTCTCATGGAACTTAGTATAGAACCACAATGTATATATATAAACCACTAATAAACCATTCTTTTTTTCTTGCATTTAAAATTTATCAATTTTTAGTGCTTTTTAAACTTCAAAAAATTAGTACTTTTCTAATTCAGCTTAGTTATATTTTTATATAGATTAACAAAAATAATGTTACAAAATTCATCTACTCGAGACATGCAAATTCAAAATCGAAGAGCTATTGCACAACAAGCAAGGAGACAATGTGAACAAATAGAGAGAGCTGCTAATCGACGAGCTATTGCTCAACAACAAAGAAGAGAACGTGAATCTTCTATTCGTTTATTTCAAAATAATACTCAACATTATTTTGGTTGTATAGATAAAGAATGTAGTTACTGTGATGCATTTCACTGGTTGGATGAACGTGTAACAACAAATTTAAAAAAAAATCCAAGATTTGGAACCTGTTGTCATTATGGAAAAGTTAATCTTCCTCTTTTTCAAGATCCACCTCTTCTATTACGTCAGCTTTTTGAAGACCAAAATGAACAATCACAAGAATTTTATATAAATATACGTCAATATAATGCTGCACTTGCTTTTACTTCTCTTGGAGTAAATATTAATTAATCTGTTATTCATAGACAAACCCCATATAGTTTTCGAATTCATAGTGAATTATACCATCTTTCAGATGCACTTCTTTCTGATTCTACTACAACAGCAAGTTATACACAACTTTATATTTATGATTTAGAACTTGCACATCAAACAAGAATGAACCGTAATGAAAATTTGAATCCTCAGACGATGTAGGAATTACAAATGATTTTACAAAATCATCATGCATTTTATCCTATATA